ACGTTACCTATAGTCGATGCTCGCATCTAGTTCCCCGTCTATTTACCTGAAAAGAAACAAACAGTTAGCAATTTGTATCCATGGCACAAAAAAAAAGAATACACTTGTGCAAGTGAAATCCACGTCAACCACTGTCAACGTGGGTGTGCCACAAGGATCCATTTTAGGACAAATTTTATTTAGCATCTACGATATATTAACGATATTGATAAATGTGTTGGTGAAGCAAAGTTCACTTTATATGCAGATAACACGTCTTTATTATTGTCTGTCATCCGTGATTATTATATTCAAACCTGAAACACCCTATCTCGTGAAATATTTTCAAAATTATACCGTAATAAAACCTTCAGCCTTTTTGGCCAAAGACCGAATATGTCAAAATCGCGTAACCTTTTTTTACTATACTAAGTGACATATAAATCCGAACACCCAGTTTAAATGGTTTTATTTTAATAAAATTTTGTATAAGTACTTAATGAAGCATAATAAGTAAATGATAAAAATTTAAAAATGATTGCACTGCTGTAAAGTCCTTTGACCTTTAATAATGTGTGGATGCACCCTGATGTGCTACGCATTCTCCAACGCGCCTAGGCATGCTTCTGATCAGGTGGTCAATGTCCTCATGTGGTATCTCATTCCAGGCAACCACCAACTCCTCTCGAAGTGCTTCTAGAGTCTGAGGAGGACGTTGCAAATTGAGCAATCTCCTACCCATCATATCCCACACGTGCTCAATTGGGGATAAGTCGGCAGATCTTGGTGGCCATGGTAACAATGTGACATCATTATGTTGAAAGAAGTGTATTGTGACTCTTGCAACATGTGGTCGGGCCTTGTTGGAAAGTTGAATCTGCCAGGGTGTCAAGATAGGGTAAAAGATGGGGTTCTAGAACTTCGTGGATATAACGCTGCGCGTTCATGTTACCTCTGATGAAGATTAAAGGTGACCTGGAACCATAAGCTATAGCACCCCAAACCATAACTCCAACAGTGTGATGAACATGTCTTTCAACAAAAAACTGTGGATTCCTCCTTTCACCACGTCGTCTTCTAACCCTGGCACGACCATCGTGCATGCCTAAACAAAATCGAGACTCGTCACTAAAGACAATACTGTTCCATTCCTGATCCCAGAGTGACCGTTGTCTGCACCACTCAGTGTGGCCGGTATGAAAACAAGCCAAAACTTCTCATTCGTCGGTAAACACTTCGCATGCCGATAGGTCTTCCGTGTTCTGCAAACCATTCATTTGCAATGGACCTGGTAGTGGAGAAACGGTCCCTTAAGGCCAATAATCTTAGGCGGCGATCTTCACGGTCTGTTGTTCTACGGCGGCGTCCAGTGCCCCTTGCTCTTTGCGTACGGCCTTCTCGAAGCCATGCCTGACAACACCTAACCACAGTGTCTACTGCCTGAAAAGAAAGTCCAGCTTCCCGAAGTCCCACTATACGGCCCCTATCAAACTCACTAAGTTGACGAAATCGTACAGGTCTCCGTACTCTAGGCATCGTAACCGATCGTAAAGGATGTCAAGAACCAAAATCCGCCAACGTTGCTTGTTTACTGCGGCTGAAATATTCATTTTTAGAGCGTTAGTGAATTAAAAAAAACAGTATTAAAACCGGAATGTCCAACTGATAAGGCTGAAAATTTTTTCACTTGTTATTTACAGTAAGATAAATACATTCACCAACTTTTATTAAAATAAAACCACTTAAACTGGGTGTTCGGATTTATATGTCACTTAGTATATTTTAATCATTAACCAGTAATTTGAATTTCTCTGTTTTAATGGTAGGGTGCCCATTCATACGCCAAACCCTATTTAATGATTTTTTTCTCAAATTTCATAGTTTTTTGTATTGTATCTTTCTGTCTTAGCGGTCAGTGTTGTGTTCAAATCTTTTGGACACTGAGGTTATAGTATTTTATAAACGACTATCCCAGATATTTCCTCATAAAATATCGTCCGTCCTTCGAAGAGTTGGTTCCACCCATTGACAATCAGCGCCACTCTGTGATTTCTGTACGCACTAGCCTGTATAGGAATATTTAGTTTCCTATCAAGATACCTTCTTTACCTGTCAAAATACCTTCTTCACCGGTTTTTCTCCATTCCTTTTGACTTCCTATCGAATATACCTTCTTCAGGCCACTTATTTAATCTTCTTTTAAAAAGTTAGGTGTTCTGCGTCATTTCCTTTCCTATTATGGTTATGGTGCGGGTCGTTTGTTTAACTTCCAGCTTTTGGGATATTACGCCCCAAATACCAGTTTATGGAGTAGTACCCCTTTTATTTGGTACCTTACGTTCAGTTGTTTTAGTTTGGGTGCTACCCCGTCCATTTTCCTATGGGTAAGTTCTTTTTTATGACATCTGGCCACGTGCATTAATGCATATCCTAAAGAAGTTTGTTCAATATCTGCTTAATTTTAGTAGAGAGAACCTCCATTCACACTCGTCTGGCTTTATTTTGTAGCTGCCTTGTAGCTGATATGCTTCTCTTGACAATTTTTCTGACATATGTGACAGAAGTTTAGGTCGGACTTTAGTGAAATAGCATGATGTCCACCATGAATAGATCAAGAATATTCCGTCTGCGGAATATTTATCGTTATTGACAGGTCTCAAGCGTTAGCTTTAGCTTAATTAGCATTGATACATAAACATACTCAATTACCCAGCCCGATACGGTAGTCAAAAGCCCCTTTCAGCGCTCCTTCAACAAATACGAACTTCATTTACACAGTATCGCTGAATAAATCCAGTCCTACATCTACAAATGAAAAGGTAAATAAAATTAAAGCAACCCGCCCCAGTGGAAATGAAACAAGTTGGTTTTCTTTCAGATTCTTGGAAAATGTACATAAATAAATACACAATAATTCCATCAGAAGGCTGTTTGTAAGGAGTGAAAGATCCGGTATATCTGCCAGGCTTTCGAGCTAGCAAGGCATAAAATGGATTATCACAGTATTCATTCATAGGATAAAGAAAGCTTTTTACTTGAGCCGCTAACAACGTGCCTACAGAGGCGTATGTGAGGGGTGCACCCGAAAACGGGTCTTGATAGAAATTGCAAATACATACAATTCTTTCAAACTCTCCTTCGGTAAAGATCAAAATTTCTCAACGGAAAAGAATCAGGGTCTATAAGCAAGGTTTTCGACCCCAAAGATTACTCAAATTTCAAGTTGAACGCATCTGAGAAATTCATGCAATAAAATATTTTAAAACATTTTTCTTTCAATTTAAATAACTGAATTCCTTTTTCAAAGCCCATCGGTCCCAATAGCGGCATTTCTCAACGCAAAATAATCAGGGTCTATTATCAAGGGTTTCAGGTTGAACGCATCTATAAAAGTCTTGAACTTAAATATTTTAAAACATGTCTAGTTTGTAATTTCAGTAATTGAATATTTTTTTCAAAGCCCAAGGGTCCCAATTTTGGCATTTTTTCTAATATTCATCCATTTTCTACTTTAGAAAAAATGGCGTCAAGTTGGTGGACTCTGCATCTGCCAGGCAAAACGGACACCAGATAATAATGAATTATGTTCAGCATAAGTAAGACCCCCTGACAAAAAAGTTAGTTACGAACATGTATAAAGGGAAATTAAACGGATCAAGTCAGTCAAACAGACCCGTTCAATTAGTCCGTAGACGTAATGTCCCTCCTTTATCGCTAGTACCGTCCAAGTAGCAAACTATGAAAACCAATCACCCGGCCGATAAAGCTAGAAGCAGACACTTCTCTATCATTCGAGTTTATGATGCGAATGTACGAAGAAATCTATGATGTGTGAAATATGAATAATAGAATTAGCAAGTTTGGGAACAAATATTCTAAAATCAAAAAATTGAGCTTATAGGATATTTATTGTAACCGACAGGCCTGTCCGTGAACCCAGAGAGCAGAAGCAGAGACGCGTATCGAAGCTAATTCTTTATCATTTCCAGTTTTAAGGACAAATGCATGGGAAGATCTATGATGTGTGAAATATGTGCTTAGAGTTAGCAGGGCTGCGAGTATACTAGTAGTGAGTATACTAACATGAAAAATTAAGTTATACCCGTGGAAATATCCTCTCCACCTCCTAGAACCCCCAAGTCCCAATATTTAACCACTACAAATTTTTATCTGAAAATGATCTGAACCTTCAGAAACGAGGTTTGAGCAATTTCTATTTTTTGTTTTTCATTTTCATTTTCACTGGACCAATTCTTAAGAGCCTTGTGTGAAAGCGTTGCCCACAACCGAGCGGTACCTACTAAGTTATAGACGGCCAAGGATTATCGGACAGTCAGACGTGGTCTCACATCACACATTCAAAAACATGATATCTCATTTTCCTTCTTTGCCAGCTGTCGTGTAGAGTAAAATGGAGCTTTTGAGGACTACCACCATCCTACGCGAAAAAAAGTTTCGTGATCTACGCTTCCGATTCACCAAAAAAACGGTTATTCTTCCTCATCAAATGAAGCCTTGAACGCTGAGGCCACTCGTAGGTTTTAGGTAAAAATATAGGATAGAAATATCATTGTTCTTCTCATACTTGTTTTTCACACTCAATCTGGAGCTAGGAATATATCTGCCTAATATTGGATAAAACTGGGGATATAGGCAATTTTCTATTATTCCAAAAATGGACATGAGGAATTCATTCATTTCCATAGAACTAAAAACATTTCTTTGGTATCCTCACGTGAATAGCAAGAATAATTTGACCAACCTTTTTTTTGTTTCCTCTTGCTCTTAAACTGTACTCTCCCAAACATTTAGAAAATGTTTACCCTTTCCATGATTTCCATATTATCTTGCGCTGTTTTAGGTTACTTTCAAACTGTGTATTTTCTCCATCAATTGACTCATCTACTGGTAATTTACATCTATTTATTTCCTACTCATTCTCGTATCTTTCGTATACCTCAAAATCTAGAATTTTCGACTTCATTACCCATTTCTTTTATTTTTATTTTTTATTTATTTAGCAACATCCAACAGCCATAGCCAATTACAGGATGGATAAACACGAAAATATAAACAAATGCATGTTGTGGATGTATGTAGAGAAAGCTAAAACGCTGCAAAAAAAACCTCAAAACAGAACTGGGAGGAAAAAAAAGCGTTCTAGCTTTACCTACCCAGCACTCAACAATCACACCGGCAAGCATTAACGAAAATAAGCATTAATGTCTCCCATAGTCGCACAAAACGAAAATATATCTAAAACGCTATTAACTGAATTATAATTACGGCACATTATATATATAGGGGAAAACTTAAGTATGTCAGTCCTAGGCCTGGCTAAGTAAAAATTTAAACTAGTTCGTGACGCTAATCTAGGAATTAAGAAGTTAAGTTGTTTTAAGATGACACTGGAGTCAATAATGCCGTGGATGAGCTTGTGAATGAACTTAAGTGAATTCATTTTGCGTCTGCTCTCTAAATTAGAGATGTTGTGTCTCGCCATCAACTCACTATGAGGAAAGCCAATAGCGGGATATATCCCGTCAGCTTTGTATGAGAGGTATTTTAAAAACTTTCTTTGAACGGACTCTAAGCGGTCCATATATATTTGATGATGAGGATACCATACCAGGGACGCATACTCAAGCTTAGATCTTACATAAGCATAGTACAGTATTTTCAGTGTAAAGGAGTTGTGGAAATCACCGGTATTTCTTACAATAAAACCATACGCCTTTGATGCAGCCACAACAGCATTTTCAATGTGATAGAAGGAAGGTTTTCTGTCAAATGTGACTCCCAAGTCATTAATTGTACTAGGTCTGTCAAGTTTCCTGTCACCAATACTATATTCATATATCATTACCCCTGTTTTTAAAGTAAACGACAAAACGTGACACTTAGCAGCATCCAAAACAAGTCTGTTTTCACGACACCAGTTTTCAACCCTTACAATGTTGCGTTGCAAGCGATGACAAACGTCAATGTTGGAGACTCTACAGAAAAGTTTCATATCGTCAGCATATATATATATATATATATATATATATATATATATATATTTCTTCTTCTGATACAGGCCTATTTGGCATGTTTTCAAATCCGAGCGACAGCTCTGTTGCTTTCTCCAAAAGATGCAAGTTTTCATCGACAATCTCCAGCATTTGGTCATCAGACATTAAACAAAACGCCGAAAAATATTTTCTGAACTACATTACCGGTAAGATGTTTTGGACTAGCGAGAAGAAATACTTGTTATAGAAGTTGCCCTCAAATTCCATTTCAAGATTTCACTAGGCACGCCTCTCGTATACTTGACACAATAAAAAGTAAATGATTAATTTATTTCTATCAGAAATACCAGAAAACCAATTGAAAGTTTTTGGCAGTCAGATGATCTTTTTCATCAATAGAATTCGTCGGTGACCAAACGTTAACGATGCATGAAAAAGAAAAGCAAACAAAGAAAGTGGTTATTTGCGGTAGGTATGCAGCCAAGCACGGTGAAAAACGGCGATTTCGCTGCTATGATGATGGTCAATCTAGTCCAGTCACGGTAATTAAAACGTTTAGTCATCTTGTCACTGCACAGTCTCCAAATAATAACGTCTAAAAATATTTATTTAACAAAGCTGTCGATCCGGTTAGAATGATTTTTGATTTCATCATAGGGTGCTCTTGATTTTGGATGTTTCAGTAAGTTTTTGTAAAAATTAGTAAATGTTCCTTATAACAAATTCATCATTAATCAAGAATGTTCGGAAAAAGTCCATGATGTCAAATCTATCCCAGCCTGCAGTAAAGGGTAAGGTGCATCAGAATCCAAATCAGATACCGCATCACCTGTAGGTGAGCCAAGCTGTTTATTTATTAGTCGAATTTCAAAAAAAGCGAAAATAGTTCAATTCTCTAGCAGTAACTGAGTTTTAGGTTTGATATTAGTTAACGGTGAGTATCTTCAAGATGCTAGTGATACTCCGCGATTCAGATTGTTTCCTGGACATTACCATCCTGTGTCGCGTAGGTTGTTTATATCGTACACAGGCCATATATCACACATCACAGATTTGCCTTGTTTCTATTTTATCAAGGATCAAGGATTTCCAATAACTTTGTGAGTACATCTACATATACAGAGTGTAGTGTAGTAGGTAAACCCCTACGTATGTTTATTAGAGTTCAAGAATTTTCTGCATATCGATTTATCTTGCCATGAATAACAAGTGATAAAATGGTCAGGCTTTTCTGTCAAGTTTTTATGATTTCTCAACTTGGAAATTACCGCTCGGATTTTTATGAAATTTCCACGCGGGGTTACTAGTATTCCAAAGCTTTGTAGTTTTAGTCCAGTGGCAACGGTGCTATAGGCAAAAAAGAAAAAGTAACAATTGCTGAAACTCCGTTTTTGACGTTACAAGGGTTCCTTATCATTGACATAAAAAAATTTTCCTGTTTAACAAGTGGGGGTTGGGGGAAGGTGATTCTAAATGTTGCATCTTTGATATCAGTGAAACACGTTCTATTATTAAGAAGCTTCTGATTCCAGTGATTACCGGAAATTTAAGGAACGAAAATCCGACGGATAATGTGCTCACGATTTGAAAAAGTCCGTACCTGCTCTTTAGGTTTGACACCAAGAGCCAACAGATCTATCTGCAACTGCCGACAGTAGGGATGAATTAATTCGGATATCACTTCAGTCAAGTATAGAGGAATTTAGCGTGGAACTTTAAATATGTTTTTGAGAACGATAATTTGGTAGATTTTATACCTGGATTTTCATTTGAATTTCATGACCCGTAAAATGTATCCACTTCACCGTTACCTTCAATTTGTGTTCTGCAGTTTGTGATGTTTTTCTGGATATAAGCAGGACATAATTGCCTAGAGCTTTTTACAAAATTTTGTTTTTGCGCAAAAACTATGGTGGGTTGGAATGCTTACTATTTGTGCTCAACTTCTTGATATTTTAAAAAGATCCTAGTGGATAAAATCGAAAAAGTGGATCGTTAGCACCCTGTGGACTTTGTTTTTAGCACGCTGCACGAGTCTCATTTGGAAATAAAGATATGAAACGTAAGCTGTGAAGTGCAAATCGGTTTTTGGGAGAAATTCGTCTACTGTTTCGTCCTGCCAGTGCAAGCGACGCGACGGTGCGTCCCGACTAAGAAAAAATGTATTCAAATAATTTGATATCTTTCCTAAAATAAATTCAAAAACTCAAATTCAAGTTCGTTTATTCATGTCAGTAAACACAATTATGTTTACAAGGGCCATGTGGTACATGGTAACCATTGAACGAGGGTCATAAAAATATCTTATGCCGTCAAAATAAGAGGAAACAGTTAGGTGGTTTTTGCAAACCATTAAACTTATACTTAGATTAAGTACATTTCTTGTCTACTGTAATAGGTACATGGAGGCGATGCTGCCAGAGATGGGTGTGTGCGATCCATAAATAAACCACAAGATTGAACTGCGGTGTCCAATGACTTTTGTATGGCCTTACTAGAAAACTCTGTTGGGTATATGATGGAGTTGACTAGAGCTTTACAGCTTATTGTCTGCCTTCTTCTACAAACTTCACCAAATCAAGACGCTGTTAGCCTTATCCTCCGATGAAGGCGCCACAAAGTACAGTCCTGTGATTTGGTCACTTATTCGATCTGCAAAATCTCGTCGTTACTTTTTTTAAGTTTACCTAAAAATTCTTGCTTAGCAACCTCCAAATCAATGTCGTTCATGTCAGGTTTTTGACAGAATTCGCCATAAAACTATTCATTTTCTTTGGAATTGCTATCCGAATTGTTAGTTATTTTTATATCAGCTTTTCTGATTTGAGTTTCTTTTCAAGATTCTTGCGTTTGAGTCTTTGTTCCATCTTAGCGATAAGCGAGGTTGGACTAAGCTTAGAACGCAAATGTATTTGGACCACATAGACAGGCCGCTGGGTATTGTAGCTCACTAGGCTGCAGCACATCTTCCATGGTATGACATCTTCTTGCAATAATTTATTCGCTTACTCCCCAATGTATTTTGTGATTATGGAGTTGAACTGCTCCACACTATTGTTGACCTCATCATGAATTAAACTCACTGCCTTCGTAATTAAAATGGTCGCATATGACCATGTATTGTCCATTATTATCAACCTTGATGAAAAAAGGCATCCAAGAACAATCACACCAACAAGAGTACAGCACAATAATCCAACAACACAATATCGATGAACAGTAACAAGTGGAGAAAAATACTAAATGATCACTTGCTGAGTACCAAAATAGGAAACGATTTACAGGCTAGATCGCTAATCGAAATCCGACTATGTTATTATAAAAATTTACCCGCACCCTCAGTCATCCTTTCCTCTTTTAAAGTAGCGCGATGATCGTCTAAGGCCAGCCCATCCGTTAAGACTTCTGGCTCTGAGAGACAGATTCAGTAGTACTCGAGCCATCGCTCGCTAATCAATGGAACATCGGCGTAACCGTTTGCTCTGGTGTAGAGAAAGAATTATTTGGGACCGGGAATGGAATCAGGTGATCTTTACTGTCGAATCCCGCTTTGACAGAGAGCGTCACGTTCACTATACTGTGGGAGTTATGGTATCAGGTGCTATTGCTTATGGTAGCAGATCACCACTAATTTTCATCAGAGGCAATATGACAGCAATATTCAGGAAGTAGTGGAGCCTCATCTTCTCCCATACCTAAACACCATCCAAAACATTGTTAGCCGTCATGGATCAACATCGCATCATCCGCTTATCTTGGCCACCACGATCCAATTGATCATGTCAGGGACAGGATAGGTCAGTAGCCTGGAATGAGATACCCCAGAAGGATATCGACCACCTTATCAGCACGACGGCCAGGCGTGTCAATGAGTGTATAAGAAATCGTGGATCCTCAACACATTATTGAGCCGGCTTCTGCAGTCAGTTGACGAATTAAGCTGAAAATTTTACTAGTAAGAAACATTGAATATATATGCCAAAAATTATTAAAGTCGGATAAGCATAAGTATATATCGCCTAATGATCCATCCTAGTCGTACATTCTGCTACCAAAACAAAGATGTTATATTTTTTATCACTCTTTCCACTAGCTTCATATAATGAATATAAACAAATTGACACTATCATCGGCCTTTTATATGCAAATTTATTTTGATAGCTAACCAACCACCATTCAGTTGTTACTGTCAAACACTTATTAACTACTGTGTATAGTCACCCTTTTATCTAAACGACTGTTTAACCGTAACTATATAATTTTTTATTTGCAGTTGTGTGGAATGTGGAATAATCAACACGATTTGTTCAGTCACCACATTTTTATTATTTTCCGGTTAAGTTATGAAACCAATTCAATAACATTGCAGTTTTGCTTCATTTTTCGGCCAAAGTGGAAAAAATTATCATGTTCCTTTTGGTACTGTATTGTATACCAAACGAATAATAGATGCTTGTACAGTTTCTATTCGACCAAATTAGCGCGCGGATTGACCAAAAAGAAAACCTGAAAGCAGAAACAACATTTTTTCAGTTTTAGCATTAGTCATTTCGACCACCGTTTTTAAAAACAAGGTACTTATGGTTCGATAATAAAGCCTGCCACAAAGAGTGTGTACGAAATCAGTATCTAAAGTTTTGAGAATTGATTTCATGTCTGACATGTACTTTTGTTGACTACAAAAAATATATGATGCATCGGTTGCTCAAGTTTCTATCAGACTTTGTAAAAAGATCTTGGTTAAATAATAATGTATTGCTTTTATATAGAAATTTGGTGACAATGTTACCCTAGATTTTAAGCTATATACAAGGTGTCTCATTGGAAGAGGGACATATTTTAACCGTGGATAGAGATTACCCTATCGTCTCACAACTTTTTAACCACCTATTATATTTTTTGAAACTTGGTACGCGTACTCGATTTATGCTACGGAATTTACTACGATGCGAACCAGAAAACGAACATTTGAGAAAACCGTCATACCCAAAACAATGCCCTGTATATTGGAATTCCTAAATTTTCTTTTTATATTGGGAAAGAGCATAGAAACTTCGTTCTAACGACCTACTTTTGTCTTTTTGTATGAGTAGGTGATAATGATTCTGTTCATTTTGGGGTACAAGGTTGGATACTTCATTTTTTGTTAATTTCAGTAAATTACTGTTTAAGACTATTGTGCGCCATATTACTGTTAGATTCAAAAGGAGGTCATCTTACTTCACCTAAATCAACAAAAGCACGCTTCCAGATCGGTATTAAGAACCACAGGTTGGCGGTGGTTTATCCACATAATGGGAAAATTTGCATCGATAAAGTCTCTCAAATTTACATACACAGCTAGAACATGTCAAGCAGTGTAAATGGCAACACTGACATTGAGGATCTAACGAAATGGCCAAAGTCATATTTTAGTTAATTTGGAACTTGATATAAATATATTCCCAAACTATATTATCGAATCGACTGTGCGACTGTCAGGTAAAAATACTAAGACAAGCTAGCCATCTCCTCTTTCATTAGATCACACACCATTTGGATGGGTGCCATTTATACTACCTGTGATGTACCGACTGTCCAATAGTCGTGTTTGAATTTGAGAGACCTTCTCAATGAAAACTTCTTCAATATGTGAATCTGCAGCTGCCAACCTTTAGTTCTTAATACGGACCTGTAATTATGTACTTATTGTTTTACATGCAGCTTTATACTTCAAAATAAACAAAATTGGTTGGCTCAGCTCTTACAAAATATTCGTCTGAAATAAAAAATAGATCATTGGAATAAAGTTTCTATGCTCTTTTCAAATATGTGCATAAAATTCGAAAATCCCTATATAAAAGGTAATAGTCCGCACCTGTAGTTCATTTCGTGCTCATAGCATAAGCTGAGTAAGCAAACCAGATTTCATAAAAATATAATATAATATAAAGAGACCAAAATCTATAATCTACTATAATCTAACTATTTTTCCTATAATCACCCCCAGTAACCTCTATTCACAATCAAAGTATTCTCGTCTCCTAATGAAACCTGTACCCTGTACCACCCTCATTACCCAACCTACCTTTTATATGTCGTTAGAAATCAGGTCATGACCTCAACACGCTATGGTCAAGATTGATGCATTTTAATTTTTCTCGCTTAATCATATCAGATTATACAGAAAGATGGGGCCGCGCCTACACTTTTTTAACTACGTTTTCCTGGTGTTTGATATTAGCATATTACATACAAAATTAGACTTTTCTACGTGACAAGCTTTCACCTAAAGTTATTTTCTAATATCTTCGTCATTCATTAACGTAGGCATTTCACCTGAAGATACCGAAATAATATAGGCATTAGAGAGGCCAAAAAGGGATTGAAGATCCTAGCGCCACCTATGAGACAGTAGCAGAACCAACCACTTACCTTTTCTGCGTGTTTTGCTGCTGTCTCAAAGAAGGAGCTAGTACCTTTCAGGTCTCTTTTTGGATGCCAAACTATAGTAATGGGTGATTTTTTTGCTAGTATCTTTTTGGCAACACTGTTTTTGACAGATGACGCGTGAATCGTGTCTTGTATCATTGTCAAACTTGTTCAGTTTGGTCTATAAATTAACCATGAATCGACTTACGAACGAACAACGCTTGCAAATTATTGAATTTCACTATCAAAATTCATCCTCGGCCTACTAAGGGAGCTATTCGGAAGCTTGTGACTAAATTTCGAACCCAGTTTACATTATTGGACATTAAACCACCAACACGCAGACGTAGAGTGAGGACTGAAGAAACTATTGCGGCTGTATCCGCCAGTGTTAGTGATGACCGTGAAATGTCGATTCGCCGCCGTTCGCAGCAATTGGGCCTCTGTTACACCACTACGTGGAAAATTTTGCGACAGGATTTGGGTGTAAAACCTTATAAGATACAGCTGGTGCAAGAATTGAAGCCACACGACCTCCCACAACGTTTCCATTTGGTGAATGGGCGCTGGAAAAGTTGGAGGAAGATCCACATTTTTATCGAAAAATTGTGTTCAGCGACGAAGCTCATTTCTGGTTGAATGGGTACGTTAACAAGCAAAATTGCCGCATCTGGAGTGAAGACCAGCCAGAAGCATTGCAAGAGCTATCAATGCATCCCGAAAAAATCACTGTTTGGTGTGGATTATGAGCCGGTGGCATCATCGGGCCGTACTTCTTCAAAGACGACAATGGCCGGAACGTAACTGTGAATGGCGAGCGCTATCGTGCGATGATAACAAACTTTTTTTTGCCCAAAATGGAAGAGCTGGACTTGGCTGACATGTGTTTTCAACAAGACGGTGCCACATGCCACACAGCACACGAAACAATGGTCCTATTGAGAGGCGAGTTCGCTGAACAGTTTATCTCACGTTTGGGGATCGTCAATTGGCCGCCTAGTTCGTGCGATTTAACGCTGTTGGACTATTTCTTGTGGGGCCATGTTAAGGCTAATGTCTACAGGGATAAACCAGCAACGATTGACGCACTGGAAGCCAATATTGAAGCATTTATTCGTGAGATACCGGCCAATATGTTGGAGAGAGTGTGCCAAAATTGGACCTTGCGTATGGGCCACCTAAAGCGGAGCTGCGGCCAACATTTACATGAAATAATCTTTAAACATTAAATTATATCAACCGTTCTATCGACTCAAATAAAGATTTAATCGTTTTTTAAAATTTTTTGTGTTTTTTGGAATATCAAATCCTATACCGCTTAAAAAATCACCCATTTGGTTGGCAATCTTTATATAGCTCACTATAGGTTGCTCGGCATCTATATTACGTAGCTTAAAAAGAGAGATTATATCGATTTTTTATGACATTATGTAGGATTTTCGTAAGCATGTCAACTTGGAACTAGCTGTCATTCACTTCATGTTCACTTGTAGTACCTGTGCGTGTTACCTAAACGTTATAACATTTGAGTTACATGGTTTGGGTCTAATGTGACGTAACATCTGCTTCAGAGATGCAACTAACGGAGGCCATTTATAGCTTTTGTCTCAAGCTGTGAATTTTACACTATAGGTCGTTGTTGCATTCCTTCATAGGTGGCGTCCACACAAGTTAACATTATACCGATGTTTAATGACATTACATCGATATTTTACGTAATACCCCTGCCTATATAATGTCCCCTTAAAGAAGATTATCAGAGAAGTTTCAATTATGGACACTGTCACATAGCAAATACTTGAAATAACTAATATGTGTCAAGGTTGCAGTATAATTGTTAAAGTAAACAATATTTATTCAGAAGGTATACCATTACGGCATGAATCTTCTTTGCGTAATTGCGCTTTAATACCTTTTTTGTACACAACATTAACATTGACTTACTACAGATTGCGTGAGATTGTGATCTTGAAAATATTAATCAGCTAAGTCCTTTTTAAAAGTATGCTAGAATCAACGTAATTTCATTTTGAAAAGTGGACAAATGAAACTACAAAGAATCGGAGTACAAAGAAAACACATCATAGTGGTTTGTGCTCAAAATAATATCTGCAAAACGGTGACAATGTCAAAAAAATGAATAACGCTCATCAAGATCAAAATCAATATGAATCTTTTTCTCGAGATAGATATAGATGTGCTGCAAGGTCTTGGTACCTGTTTTATTTACGTTACATGTAAATGATACTGAAAAATGCTTTCAGTTGTTAAATTCACTTTATATGCTGACGATACTATACATCCATCACTATGTCTAGTCCCTGTGGAACAACGTCGTTAAATATGTATGCTAATTTATTAGTTAAAAACACAAGATCTACGTACCATACTCTCATTTTGATATTAGTTGTAGTTCGCCGGTTTTAACACGTCACATGCACGTGTCAAGTAGTGTGATAATTTGAAATCCTTTAAAGCAGCGTTCAAGCTGTTTTTATTGAATGAACGATTTATAGAGTATCTGAGTTGTCTTGTAAACAGTTGTTTGTCTGTTTATGTATTTATTCATTCCAAGTATATATGTTTGTATTTTATTTACATTCTAAACTGTATTTTATGTATGTTCTCTTTGAAGACTCCTATAAACAATTGTGTCAAAAAGAAAATGAAGAATTTGAATTTCGCTAATGTTTTGTAATTAAATACCCAATATCGTTGATTTTTCAATTTGGTTTTATCAAAAGTTTGTAGTGAAGCTTTTACAGGAAAACGAGAAATAAACATCTTGCCTACTCAGGCTGAATAGGATCTGTTTGATTTTCCTCTCTGCGACCACAATATACAGTATACAACCTTTTTTTATATACTTCAACTACCACGAAGGCCTAAACACCCATTGGGTACCGTGGGGCTATAGGGGGAAACAAGG